GGTTGATAGTGCACCAGGTCGTAAGACAGTTGGGTGCAAATGGATCTTCAAGAAGAAGACAGACATGGATGGAAATGTGCACACATTCAAGGCTCGACTGGTTGCAAAAGGTTTCACTCAAACCCCAGGGGTTGACTATGATGAGACCTTCTCACCAGTAGCTAAGATTAAATCTATTAGGATATTGCTCGCCATAGCTGCCTTTCATGATTATGAAATCTGGCAGATGGATGTCAAAACTGCTTTCCTTAATGGGAAGTTGGCTGAAGATGTTTACATGAGTCAACCAGAGGGTTTTGTTGATGCAAAGTTCCCCAATAGAGTGTGCAAGCTTGAGAAATCCATTTATGGATTGAAACAAGCATCTCGCAGTTGGAATCTTTGCTTCCATGAGAAAGTCAAAGAGTTTGGTTTCTCTAGAAGTGAAGATGAGTTTTGTGTGTATATCAAGGCTAGTGGGAGTATAGTAACTTTTCTGGTGTTGTATGTCGATGACATATTACTCATTGGTAACGACGTTCCAACCTTGAAAGAGGTTAAGTCTTGGCTTGGAAAGTGTTTTGCCATGAAAGACCTTGGAGAAGCTGCCTATATTCTTGGGATTAGAATATTGAGAGATAGAAAGAAGAGACTAATTGGACTTAGTCAGAGCACATACTTGGATAAGGTACTAAAGAGGTTTAGTATGGAAAATTCCAAGAAGGGAGAGCTACCTATCCAGAGCAATACCAAATTGAGTAAGACTCAATGCCCGAGTACAGATGTTGAAATAGATGACATGAGTCGTGTACCTTATGCTTCCGCTGTCGGATCGATCATGTACGCTATGACATGTACTCGCCCTGATGTGGCATTTGCTTTGAGCATGGTCAGTCGCTATCAGGGAAACCCAGGTAGAGCTCATTGGATAGCAGTTAAGAATATACTCAAGTATTTGCGAAGGACAAAGGACTGGGTCCTTGTGCTTGGTGGCAGTGATACTTTGAGAGTAGATGGTTACAGTGATGCCAGCTTTCAGACGGATAGAGATAACTTCCGTTCTCAGTCGGGCTGGGTGTTTTTACTGAATGGAGGAGCAGTTACTTGGAAGAGTTCCAAGCAAAATACGGTGGCTGATTCTACTTGTGAATCAGAGTACATAGCAGCAAGTGAAGCGTCGAAAGAAGCAGCTTGGTTGAGGAACTTCATCGGGGATCTCGGAGTTGTTCCAACCATCCAGGAGCCTATGGAACTGTTCTGCGATAATGAAGGAGCGGTTGCCTTGACAAAGGAACCGAGAGATCATGGTAAGACCAGACATATCGACAGAAAGTACCATTTCATCAGACATAGAGTTGAAGAAGGCCATCTTATAGTAAAGAGGGTGTCATCTGAAGATAACCCAACAGATCCCCTCACAAAGGGTCTGAGTAGGGCTAAGCATATTCAGCATGCTCGGAGCATAGGACTGAAAGATGATATTAGTTTTAGTAGTTAGATTAGTTTTTTGAAACTTGTAACAAAGTAAATGTAATTAACTTTTGGTGATTAAATAATAAAGTATTATTTATAAGTTTGGTTTCTGCCTTTTGTCAATTGTTTATTATTGTGTTTCATTTTTGCATGTTTTACTTCCCGAATAATAAGATTATTCAAACTCCACAGTCACTCATACTTTTGGAAGTAAGTAGTGAATTAAGACTGTCATGAACTGGATTGTAGATTGTCTAAGGATAGACATGGCAATAGAATTGCTGCAACATTCATGAGTACTCAGAAATTGAGATTTGAGTATTGGATAAACCCTCGCTCAGAGTATCACTTCATGGAATTCATCACGAGTAATACTGAGACGATAATATCTTATAATTTTGAAACGAAGATATATGAGTTGTGATTTACAAGTCGGTCATGCATTGGTGATATGAAAACGCATCAGTAACTTGGTGTTATAAAACGTATTGTCATGCATAATTTGATGAGTAAAAGATACAAGCATATGAGTCAACGTTTATTCGTTCCTTTTGCCCTAACAGGAAAAGCAATATCTGTGGGCCCCTCGATGATTTGGTGTTGACTTATGTGCTGGGCCCAACCAGGACTAGATTGATGTGTTCGATTAGAAGTCCTACATCATCACAAATCAGAAATCAGGAAACATAGATTCTAGACAAAGAGATTGATTACATCCCATGTCTTTTGTCTAGGGATATCTGGCAGAATGAAGGATTATATGATCACTTATCTTAGGACACGTAACTGACTGGGTCAGAGTTCGGCAGCAGCTTTTTGGAAGCTACAATTTGCTGGTCAAATTTAGAAGGCATACTAGCAATTATAGTTATAGACTTATCCAAGTGGGAGACTGTTGGATTAGGTGTCTAAGCCCATAACTATAATTGGTATGTACTTGACTTGATAGCAGCACAATCCTTTTGGGTTGCCCTCAACCTAGCAACTGGACAAGGAAATTATGAAATGAGAGATATTAATTTATAAGATTAATAAATTAATATATATATATATATATATATATATATATATAAATGATTTATTAATATGTTAATGGATTAATATATTAATTAGAAATCATTATGTTTAATTAATTGTTAGCCAGAAGTTAATCAGAATTGATTTTGGGGTTAAAAGAATTAATTATAAAGTGCAGGGACTAGTTTGCAATTAACTGATAGTTGAATGGAAGGATCCAGAACTCCCTTGGAAGGGGGTGGACGAAAACCCTAGGGGAAACCCTAGAGAATTCGTCCAAGGGGTCCAAGATAAGGCCTTGGGTCTTGCTTAGGCCCTAAGCAAAGGATAACTAGGGTTTTCCCTAAACCCTAGATCCCTCAACTATTTAAGGAGCCTCCTGGCTCACATTTGAGGTCACTGATTTCTTTGGAAGAAACCCTAAGGCCGAAATTGCATACTCTCTCCATCCTCTCTCCTCCAAGTTTCCTTCTTGCTAGTTCTTGGGTGTGATTCCATTAGAGGCATTACATTTGTGGTGCTAAGCTTCCAAGAAGATCAAGAGGATTATCAATTGTTTGCTATAACAATTGAAAGGTATGTAACTCCTAAACCCTAGTTTGTTAATTTCTAAATTAGCATCTCTCCTCTAGGGTTCTTGTTTTGCAATTCAAAGTTATATGTTCAATAGATCAAAACATAGATCCCAAGTAGGTTGCATGTGAACATAGGAATTGTTTTCTAGTTTATTTGTTTTACCTAAAACCCATCAATACATATATATATATATATATATATATATATATATATATATATATAATCCGGATAAGTAAGAAATAATTTTTTGCTAGGAAGACAAGAAGTTTTTTATGTGCATAACTTTTTTAACGAATCAACAAAATGAATCATTAGATGAATCAAAGTAACATGATTCATAATAAAAATTTTCCCAAAAAACACCTTAATGATTCATTTTTTTTAGTAAATTAAGCAAAAATTCAGTTTACGGACAATTTTAGTGAATAACAACAAAATCATTGTATAAATGAATCATCACGACGTTTTTTTCAAGATTTTTTTAATCATGTTATTTTTTATTCATATAATGATTCGTTTTTTTTGTTTTGCCAAAAATATATGCATATTTCAAATTCTTACCTTCCTACCAAAAATTTCTTTCTTACTGGATATATATATATATATATATATATATATATATATATATATATATATATATATATATATATATATAAACACTCATTACCGGTAAGTGTTTCAGAAATCCTTCGGATAACTTCAACCTCCATCTCAGTCCCCAACTTCATCGTCTTTGTCGTCGCTTCTCCACCGATGCCACCACGACCGATGTTACGATGCCTTAGTTGCAATAGAACCCCTTTAAATTTGTCTTGTAAAATTAATTTCATGTAATCGACTTTTGTTTTGTATAAAGTGTTGAGTGTGTCCAACGTTTCTCTCAATTTTTTTTTTGTTCTGAATTGGTTGGTGACCTTGGTTCGACTGAAAAACTCCACTACTACTTGGAGCATTTGAATCATCAGACCACCTTTTAGTGGGGTTAGGATTTGTCCATCTCGCTAATTATAGGGGATAAATTCAATTGGTCTATATTATAATAAAGCAAAAGTCATTCATATATCCTAAATCAGAATAATGGGTGGCCCCATTTGGCAGCGTTATAATGAAATATGATTACGACATATAGATAGATCATAGATCCGAAGATGGGATGATCGGAAGCTAAGAATTGATCTGGAAGAAGAAGTTGATCATTGCTAAGTAATTAACGAAACTCCAGTATAATCGGATCACCAAGAGATATGAGATTAGAACATGGAAGAAGTGAATTTTTCTAGGTTTGCTTCTAATTTTGCAGATGATGTTGACTTTCCAATGAGAAAATGATTATGTGGTACATAAACCGGTTTTTCTAAGTTAGATAGACCAAATAAGCAGGTCAAAATCCACCTTATACCCCTATAAAAGCCAGAAAAAAAAAGTTTAGGGACCATTTAAACCAAAAGTGAAAAAATTGATGGGCTATGGTGTCATTTCCCTTTACTTTTATTTAGGTATTTTTAGATTGGACAAATCTTCATAAATAGTCCCTATGGTTTCCCAAAACATCAAATTTAGTCCCTAAATATTTTTGGTCTCATAGAAGGTTCTTGTGGTTTCAATTTTTATCGTGGTTGGTCCCTCACCCCTATAAAAAGACTTATTTACCTTTTTTAGGTTTCTTTATATTTTTCTATATTGGATAATTTGAATTTATATTGATTATTATATAAATTATTAAAGAGAAAATGCTTATGCATATTACCACCACTATTAAACAGTACCACCACCATCGTCTAACGCCTGTTAAGAAAACCATATCCTAAATCTAAAAACGAGATCAGGTGTCCATCGGTAGGCTCCGGCGGTAGGGTTGTTGGAGTCAAATGGTGAGTCATGAAGTTTCCGACAGTTTTCTGAATTTTTCGACGACTGATAGCAGCGACATGTGGCGGTGGTGAAATTCTGATAAGATGTTGTGGGGGGTTTGCTTAGCGGGGGTTTGTTGCACAGGTCTCACTGGTTCTAATAATGGTGTCAGTTTGGAAAATAGATGCCGAAAGTGGTTGAAATATTGTGTTGACGACGGCGTGGGGGTGACCACGGAAGGTAGCTATGGCGGTTATTCGGGGTTTTGCTTAGACACCAATGGGAGTCCAATGAAGGTGATTTCAACAAAAACCGAAGGTTGGAACGAGTGGTATGCAATTTTCGATGACTTTGGAAGTGGTGTCGCACAGTGGTTAATAACGGAGGAAACGACGGAGGAACAGGAATCGATGGGTGGAGTTTTGATCGTACATTATGAGTGTTCGATTGGTGGTGGTTCCATGAAAATCCGACAGTGGGGAAGTGGTTGTTCGGTGATTTCCGATGAGTTTTTTGGAGAAAAGAAGGTGGAGTATAAAGGTGATGGATAGTGAGAAAGAAAGGAGTGTAGAAGAAGTGGCAGTGAAGGAGTAATATATTTTATTTATTTATTATTTTTTAATAATTTTTTAAAAGAAACATATTCCCTACGTTCCAAATTGATAGTCCACTTTTGACTTTCGAATTATTTTTTCTTCAACTTTGACTGTAAATATTTTTATTTGTGTTATATATTACTTAATAAAACTTATAACAATGAAAAAAATTTAAAATATAATGCATTAATATATTTTGCATCAAATATTATCTATCAAGACAAAAAATATTTACTATTAAAGAAAAAAAAATTCAAAAATCAAAAATAAACTAAAAATTTGAAACCGAGATAGAGAAAATACAATCCACTCCGTTTTCTGGTCAAGCAGTTATTTCCTAAAATCAATTTGTGAATGATTTGATTTTCTTAGAGTACGAGCTACATGTGGGTACCTACAACCTACCTACACCCGTCGTTACTGTAACTCTTATTACCTATGATATGTAGGGCTAATTTTGTAATTGTACACTGCGCGGCACCGGTAGAAATTTTCAACTTGCGTCAGGGCTATTTACGTAAATTCACATCTAGTCACCCCATTTTATTCTTACAGAAATAATACTCCCAGTTTTTGTGTAGTAGAGATATTTCATGATCACTCTCTCCCTCATACTTTTTCTAGAGAGAGAAACAAAAGTCGGCAAATGTGAGCTCAAGTCCATCAAAATCCGGTGTTAGTTTCGTATTTTAGGTTCTATTTCTTCAAGTTTGAGAAATTCGGGTGTGGTGTTTGGCGGATTTTTGTTTTTTATTTTTATTTTGGTAAGAAATGCAGGATATACATTCGATTGGGAGTGGTGGAGGAGGAGGGAGGTTGTTCGGCGGCGGCGGTGGCGGTGGGGATAGACGGTTGCGACCGCACCACCACCACCAAGGTCACGGACCACAGGCTTTGAAATGTCCGCGTTGCGAGTCGTTGAACACGAAATTCTGTTACTACAACAACTACAATCTCTCTCAGCCACGTCATTTCTGTAAGAGCTGCCGGCGATACTGGACCAAAGGTGGTGTACTCCGTAACGTCCCTGTCGGCGGTGGATGCCGTAAAACTAAGAGGTCGAAGCCAAAGTCCAGTAACAATAATCCTTCCTCCGATGCTACTGTACGGAAGTCGTCTCATTCACAAAATTCCAGCAGTGACAGCTCTAGCCTCACAGCGAACACTACGACGGCAAAAACAAAGGTGAAGACAACGCCAATCGCACCGGCCGCCGCCGCGGAGGTGTTGTCAGGTATTAAATCAACAAACTCTGCACCGACGTTGCTTAATTTTCAGGAATCCTCCTCAGGATTTCTGAATATCACTCAATCGTCTGCTCCGAACCCTAGCTTCGATCCACCGCTACTGAACCACTCATCAGCCGAAAACAACATATTCCCGGAGATTGAGACATTTACAAGCTTGATAAGCTCATCCACCGGTCAATTGCCACTAGGATTTAACATAGCCGCCGACATTTCACCGTTCCGGATGCACCACACTGGTCATCTTGTAGAAAATTCAAACGCGAACCAACAACAATGGATGAATACAGATCATACCATGGAAGATGATTTGAAGGTTCCGGATACAGGTCCACTGGGATTCATGGATGCTCACACGGATCAAACGGAATTTTCGGGGTTACATGACAAGGCAACCAACGATGAACTTGGCACAGAGGATTGGGATAATGGTACAGATCAAGCATTGTTTGATCTAACAGGAAGCGTGGATCAATCATACTGGAGTCAAACACAGTGGGATGAACATGATCATGGACATCATCAACTTAATTACCTTCCTTAACATCGCCAACGCCAAGGTACCGAATTGAATCATCTACAAGAACTTTTTACCCACCAAAAAAAATAACAGAAAGAGAAAATGGAGATATAACGACTTGGATCTCCTATGTACATCTATATTTTTCTTGAAATTTCTCATTTATGATCTCGAGAGATGTTTTGGGTTTGATGTTCTTATTGTGAACCCGAAACTAACTCTTTTTTTTTATAATTTTTTTTCTTTCTTTTGGGGTTGTGAAATTTTAGTATGGTGATTATGGGTTTGAACCATTTTAATTTATAATATAGAGGATCATAGTGTTTAATTTCCTTAATGTTTATTATTGTTAAATTCATCAATATGAAATATAGAGTAAAGACAAAATTGCATAAATGGTGCATGTGGTTTAACAAAAGTTTCAAATTCAATCTTTCTATATTTTTCATGTGAATGGTCCTCTTGGTTTCATTTCTTGCATTGTTGTCATCGAGACTTTTCTACCTTGTCATTTTCTTTTATAATTTTCTTTCACTAATTTTAATTAAAAAGAAAATGAAAATAAAATTAACCTCATACCCATACCCATACCCCTACCTATACGCACCCGTGTTTGTTCCAATCTCATGTTCGCTACATCAATTTTTGTGTTTGGAAGTACGATTAGGGTTCACGATCTTTGAATTTGGGTTGTTCTTGGGGTTGCTACCTTTGTTGATGTGAGGGCTAATATAGGGATGACTACCATTCTAAATGAAGATCAATGCCATTACTGAATCCAAAGGCATCATCTCAATCAATGTCACTGCCTCATCTACATGCCATGTCATGTACTGCAAACAAAATCAGCCAATATAAAGGTAAATTTGTTTGGTGTCAAATGGATATGGGTTTTCACTAGTTCCCACAAAGAGGATAAGTCGTAGGTTTTCACCCGGCATTTGACGAACTAAATCAATGTCATTTCTCCATCTTGTTATATTTTTGTTCGGGAAATGATTCGTACACAACAATTTTTTGTCATACACAACAATTTATGCATTATTGAGTTGTACAGTACAACATTTTAAAGCACCAATTGTTGTGTATGGAGAAAAATTGTTGTGTACAAATTATCTCCCTGATGATACGAAGATCCAACAACATTGATTGTATTGGCATGATGAGATCAAACCCCAACAACATTGTTTGTATTGATATGATGAGATGAAGGCCTAACACCATGATGAGATGAAGACCCATCAATGTTTCTCCATCTCGTTATGTTCTTGTGTTTTTCGTAAATAGGAAACAAACATTTTGATTACACTCAAAAGTAACTACAAAGTTATCACAAGCCTCAAAGAACTAGATGAATTGAAATGGGTGGATTGGACTTGAGTGTTTATCACCGCTCACCCACCGGAGGTCCGAGAGATCCATTTACTCTTTTCTTTTTCTTTAATTGTTAAAATCAGTTAAAAAAGAAATTAGAAAATGGTAGAAAAGTTTTGTTTTCTTGCAAAAAAATAAAACAATAAAGATCATTAGCAAATAAAAACTTAAGAGAAATCAAGTTTGCCACTTGTGATAAACGATAGGGATCTTTTATGCGATTTTGGTCTAGAGTAAATTACATATTTGGTCCATGTGGTATGCTTCAATCTGCACTTTTTGTCAAACTTTTGAAAATTTGTTATGGCTGGTTCCTATGTTTTCTAAATCTTGCATCGGAGGTTCCTATGTCCATCAACGTCTATGGGTCTTCGTTATACGAGTGTGAAATGACGAAAATGCACACGATTTTGTTTTGTTTTTTTTTTATAATTTTGTTTATTTGTTTTTTCTTTGTTTAAATTTTAAAAAGTGATGGGCCATTTCTTTTTAAAACCCTAAAGGCTTAAAATCACAAGCACCATGGTGTTTGCACCTTTTGTAACTTCATGTTTTTCGGGCTAGAAGTTTTTACTTTTCAATAAAAAATAATAATAAAACTTCTAATTTAAAATAAAAATAAATAAATTAGATAATTGAAATTTGAGAAAAAGATAAAAAAAAATATTAATAAAAACCTGTCGCTAGTTAATATTTTTTATATAACAAAATTTTAGTGTGGTATGAATTATTTTTGTTAGAAAGGTCATATGTGTCAAGTTGGTGAAATTTGTGTTTTACTTAAGTGTTGACCAAGTGAGTGAGTACGACAAAGTTTGTTAACTTTATATGGGAAAGGACCTTATGTGAATAAATTCTAAGTTCTAAATAACTTGGGAGCCATTTTGAAGAATCCTTGAAGAGGAGGGACCATAGTTGCCAAATGTCCAAAATAAAGAACAATTAAAACCCTTTTCTCCCCATTTCTTCCCGAACACAATTTCAGTTGTATTCCTCCCTCTCTTTGGCGTTTCTACTCTTTTCATGGTATTTGAAGATCTATAATCAATTGGCGAAAGCTTTGCTCAAATCTCTTCATCTACATACTTGGAATGTAGTTTTCTCCTCCTTACTCTCAATTTCATTTAGTGTTCATGGGGTTTCGCTGATTCAAATTCCCTTTTCATTTTATGAAAACCATAGAAGTTTTATGTAATGATTACATTCATAGATTCATCTTCAAGCTCCAACTAACAAATTGTTGTGATTTTAGTGAGATTTGGGGATATTTGATGGGTTTTCCAAACCCTAGTCTCTTAAAGTTGAGTATGATGTTTATAGTGATGTTATGAACATGATTAATGTATATATTATGTTGTTCATTCCAAATATATGATCCATTTTTCAGTTCATGACTTATGATGAGGTTACATGATCTTTGATTCAAACCCTAGCTTCTTTGTATTTATTTGGGGATTTCATAATTCTAGAAGGGCCCTGATTCAAAGTTTTAGAGTAAATTGTAGTATGATGATGTTTTATGCTCAAAGTGTTGAAATCCATCAAGGATCTATGATCATGGCGGTACTCTATGTGTCCATTATTGTACCTTAACTCATGTTTGAGCTTCCATGTAGTCTATGAGAGTTGCATCTCAATCTTCATGGGTGATTAGGGTCCTAATACATTATGAAACTTATTTTTCCTTGTGTTTTAGATTTCAATGTTGTAATTTTTCCATTTGGTTTAGTTCCATCATTTACACATAGTGATTTTGGTGCAAATTGAGTTATATGTGTTCATTAACCTTCTAAGTGAAGTTTGACTGATATTTTGATGTTTGATATGTTGGATATATATGCTCAAGAATCATTATCAAATGATATTGCTAATAACATATGATCCTATAGGGTACGGCCGTGAAATATTCATCCCCTTTGACCGTGTTCATCTCGTGACCGTGAACCATTCAACTTCTTTGACCGTAAACTGTTGTTGGACCATGAAGCATTCATTGTGTACAGCCGTGAACAATTGTTTGACCGTATTCAATTTTTGACTGTGAATTAACTTGTGTGTACGGCCGTAAATCATTCATCCATCTTGACAGTGAACTACATTTTGACTGTAATCCATCCTTTGACCGTGAAACATTCATTGACCGAGAATCATCTTCAAGTGTATGGCCGTGATCTGCCTAACCGTGATTACTATGTACGGTCGTGAAGTGAGTACGGCCGTGATCTCTATAAGATCGTGAACCCCTTTATTGGTCATTTGAACATTTTCCGTTTTAGTACTTTCCTTGTTAGTTTGTTTGTTTAATCAATTCAGAAAAACCAAAAACAAAATGGATTCACAAAACTCAACAGTTCATCAAGAATTAGATGCTATCATGGGAACCGCTACTCGAATTCCTCGCTTACTGTCTACTGAAGGTTTCCCGGAATGGAAATACCGCATGGAAAAGTATAGCAAAATGAAAGACTTCAAAATCTGGAGAAGCATATTGAAAGGACCAGTCCGGAGAAGCATATTGAAAGAACCGCTACTCGAATTTCTCGCTTACTTTCTGCTGAAGGTTTCCCGGAATGGAAATACCGCATGGAAAAGTATATCAAAATGAAAGACTTCAAAATCTGGAGAAGCATATTGGAATGGAAATACCGCATGGAAAAGTATATCAAAATGAAAGACTTCAAAATCTGGAGAAGCATATTGAAAGACAATGAAATTGATAACTACACCGAAGAAGACTTTGAAAAGGTTGAACAGCAAGAGAAAGCACTGGCTACACTCACAATGGCCTTATCCCCAGAGATTGCACAGGGTTTCAGAGAATACACTTCAGCAAAAGCTTTGTGGGAAGCACTGATCGAGGTGTACGAAGGGAATAAGGATATGAAGTAGAGTCGTCTAACATGCTTAGGCAGAAGTTTAATTTGTTCAACCACATTCTTGGAGAGTCACTCGAAGCTCAATTGCAAAGGTTCATCACTCTCACTACAAAGATGAGTTTTGCCGGAATTTTGGTTACAAGATCTGAAATCAACAAGAAGCTGCTGAATTCTCTCCCAAAGTCTTGGGATATGAATGTCTCAGTCATCAAAAAGACCAAGGATCTCAATCGTCTAAGTCTGGCAGAAACAATGGAAATCATCAAGTCATGTGATCTTGATGACAAACAGAGGGAGATAAATCATGTAAACTCATTTTCCACTGCTAATCTTGGAATTTCATCCAACAGTGCCTTCTCAACCTTTACCACTTCACAACCTCAACCTTTTATTGCTCCACATCCACAAAATCCAGTTTTTGCTGCTCCACAACCTCAACATCAAGCCTTTGTTACTCCATCACCACCAATGCCTTATCCACAAACAGCCTCTTCCTCGAAAGCACCTATTTCCAATCCTACCCCCAAAGAAACCGATGAGAATATGGCTTTAGCAACCGGACTTGTTAACTGTTACAACGCCTTTGTAGCTGGAGAGTTGCCTCCTCAGCTCTCTTCTGCTGACCTTGATCAAGTACACCCAGAAGATGGCGAGGAGATGGACATCATATGGCAGATTGCTATGGCTGTGTTCAGGGCCAAACAATTCGCAAAGAAAACATGCAAGAACAATTGGGGAATGAACGCGGAAAAGAAGGTCCGCTTCAATAAGGGCAAACTAAGATGTTTCAACTCCCATGAACCTGGTCACTTTGCCAGGGAATGCCCAAAGCCTGATAGGAAGGAAAACAGTGAAAGAACCATGGTGCCCGTAGGAAGCAGCCGGGGAGCTACCACCAACAATCAGACAGCGAATCTGGCATTGGTAACTCAGTTTTTTGACTGGGAAGATCAGATTCAGGCTCTGAACATCTCAGGACCTGAAAATGCTCACCTGGCCCATATCAACAATGTCCCTGAAGAGAAACCTGAAGTGGACCCGGAGAAAGAAATGATGGAACTGCAATTTGCCTTCATGGTACAGACTACCCCAGAGCCTGCAAATCCAGAGGTCAATGAAAACTCTTGTCCTCAATCTTGTATTAAA